AGAATAGGGAGTACGAAGGGCTACACTTCGTGATGTTGATGTCATGATTATGATAACACTCACAGCGGCTATATAAACACGATCGAGCACACTCAGCCTCATTCTACATGGTGCTGCCGTGGCAGCTGGAGGAGAGGGGAGGGGGAAGGCAGGGATGGGTAGGAGGGGAGAGGAAAGAGGGAGGGAGTGCATCGCTTTCAAGATTACGGTTCGATCCGGTGTTGAGGTATTATTGCAACGTGATTGTGATAATACCCCAACGGCTATATAAACACCTACTTAGTACACTTTCAGTCATTTCACAAGGTGCTGCAGTGGCAGCTGGAGAGCAGTGGGGGAGGAGGGGAGGATAAGGTGAGGAGGAGGAACGCCAAGCTTCGCAGGGAAGGGAGGGTCCGGCGGTTGCCGGGACCAATCTGGTCCATCAAGAATACGCAAAAGTAGATTGCCCGTTCATTTCGACCATGGATGACGGTGTACACAAGGTGGTTTGGTTGCTTGACTGCGAAAGCCGCCATCATGCCAGCGAACACCATGGTTTTATGAGAGAGCATTACATAGGCAAGTTGGAAGATACAGCCGCTAAAAGAATGACCTTTCGAAATGAAAAGCTAACAGAAACAGCTCGCCCAAATCACCAAGTATATTAGTGGGTGCAGCGGTTAGGGATCGTTCCGTTTTTCAAGCACTGCTCCGCAAGCAGCGCCCTTTGTCATGAAAGTGCAAAGCCTCAATTCATTTGCAACTTTGTTGCTGCTTCGGGTGATAAAAACAGTTCCTAAAAACGTCCGAAAACGCCCCTTTTTGGAAACCTGGTATATTGTAACAGAAAAGAGTTCCCTCTATGTTTGAACTGCTGAGTGGCTCATCTGTTTCCTACTTTGGTTGGCTTCATTCTGTAGTTAGAAGAATTTTTTAGGAAGTCGACGTTGGTTTGGCAGCCGACGTTGGAAGTCTCAATCGCCTTCCAAAAATTTGCGGCAACGAAGGTTGGCTTAAAGAGGTGACCACGTTTTGTGCAAGCTTTTTGATCTGTATTGCATTATAAACCAGAATAGGAGAACATATGGGAAACCGGGTCAGTAAACTATGTCTCGTTGCTTTATGTATTCCTCACGGTATCCATACATTACACATTTGTGTGCTGATGTCATGTTTTTTTTTGTCGGAATACCTTCCGCATATTTTTAAATATGGATAGAACTTTGTATCTTTCGTCCTCGGAGAAACTCAACCTTTGTTATATTCGAAATGTTACAGTCATCTTGAAAATTGCTTCTGACTTTTTTGTGTGCAGAGCGTCCAAATTTTGAATCCTGTACACATCAGAAAAGATATCACTTGTTTGTGTACTATACCTATTCAATTGCCCAGTGGCGCTTAATCTCAGCTTAAATTGACTTAATTTTTAGGTTGCCTTTACTGCTCGACACTTCGATGCTGATGAGGCGCTGAAATTTGGTGAGCAAGTCTGCCGTATTTGCCCCACCCATTCTTCTGTGCCGTTTACCAGTCACTTTTTTGCACACATTCGGCTTCCTTGTAGCATTAACCACATTCTGCGCACCTACGACCACGAAGATACCACGCATTGTGACGCTGACCCCTGCGCACACGATCCACACCCTTTCAATCGGCCGAGCACGACCTCATGTTGGACTTTGACCAATTGACGCTGTCCCTGCCCAAAACCCCAACTTTCTCGTTGCAAGAGCAATAGAATTTTTCTTGTACTGCCTACACGTAGAGGATGCTGTGGATAGCAAGCGTCGTTGCTATGTGGGGAGAGGGAATATTGAGAATTTTCTGGTCGCGTCACCTCACTTGATTTCCAAGGCATCCAATTCTCTTTCGGCCTTCGCGAGTGCATTACTGATGAAGTAACCAAGAAATTGAAGTTGAGTAGTAAAAGATCGGTAGCTGTTGCAGAGGCTTCCGTCAGAGGGAAAGGGTCTACCTGACTGCTTTTCACCCTGAGGGGGGGGAAGCTATTAGAAAGATAAGGCGGAGACCGCTGTGTATGTGACAGCGACTGCATCTACCACAGGTTCGTCTTTGTAGCCGTTTTACAGTAGCTTCAGTTGCAGTTTTGTGGTACATATTTTTATAATTTTTGTTCCTGTTCAACTTCCAGATCTGATTAGTCGAATTTACAACAATTACGACGATATGATGCGAGGAGTCTTGGCGTTGGCAACCATAACGATCGCTCAAAAGAGCCCTGTCGCCGTGCAAGGAACAAAGGTATTCAACTTTTGTAAATTTTTCGTTGTTACTTCTAGAAGTTTATTTGCAGATGATTTTAAATTATTCTCGCGATCGTAATAACTCACGCCTCGCTGCGCCGGTCATCCAGGTGAGCACCCCGGTTGATGAAGGACGACAGGCAGTGGTAAGTGCCGTTGTTTAATACACTAGCTGAACTGGAAGGTCCGCTGATTGTACGATTGGTTCACCTTCCCTGCAGTACCCTCAATCACATATGATACCACCAAGTGCAAATACTGGTCATCGTCGAGATTCCGTACCTTATTTGCCTTCATATATAACAGGTATATGTAGCACGGGGCGGAAGTGATGTGGTGCGGCGAAGCCATAGCACGCTATTCCAGCAGCGAACGGTCGGGGACAACATGCAGAGTCGCCCGCGCCAACCAAGCCTTCTATCCCTCCAGGGTCGGTTAATTGGTACCAGACTTGTCTGGGAGGATAAAAAACACTAACTTGTACATCGGCTGGCCCCCGCAAGTCATTGTATAGGCCACATCGCATTTCTGCTGTATGATAAAATGGCGTTTTGTGGCATACCGCGTTGCCCTCCACCGGCGGGGGATGTGGGTGTATACAAGTTAGACAGAGAGCACAGCAGAGCAAAGAGGGAGTTCTTGGTGCTGGGGACCACTGAATTTTCTGATGGCAGTGTCATCGATGAGCCTGATTCGCGACAAACTACGAAACCGAAGATCATTAACTCCATTAGAGGCCATCCGGCTTATAAAAGACGAAACACAACGATCGTAAAAGCTGGAGTGAACACTGGGACCCTCCTCTCTAGTCTAAAACACCCCTATAGCCTCGACATGATGCGATAAAACAGCTTCTTCATATGGAATGCATTAACCCGCGTCTCAAGAGTGAGCAGAATGGTATACGATCATAATAGGTTGGCACTGGAACTTCGCTTCGCCAGAACTCTTCGCTCCAGCCAAAAATCGAACCTGGCATCTCTGACATACTGGTTGTGCTACAATTCACACTACCGGGGCAACATTTCACCATAACTTAGCTTTTAACGCTGAGCAAGACAACCCAGTACTGCTTCACAAGAATGCTGGGTTGTGAACAAAACTTTCGCCCCAGCGGGACTAGAACCCGCACCTCTTGCTTACCCAATATTCTTGTGAAACATTCGCAACGCGAACTGCGGCGTTAAAACAACAGTTAACCCTTTGGCGACAATGCCACTATGTCTGGCGCGTGGGACAATGGCACCCAATGGTGGGTGCCACCTTAAAATTTTCTTCTTTGCCATTTAAACATTTTTAACATACCAGCAAATATTAGCAATTTCCTAGTATCTTTTTCTAGCGTGACTCATAGAAATGTTCAATATGAGATATTTTATATAAAGTTTAAGATAGCATTTAGCTCGCTGGGTATAATAATTGAATTTAACATGGTTATACTGACGAATAATCACCTATCAAGTCTTCTTCAGCTTTCTATAGTCTTTGCGCACATGAGTGGGTTTAGAATTTACCAAAAATTCTACTGTATTTTTAAGTATGGGGTTTTTCCCATTCACTCCTTTCAAATCCGAACTCCCTTTCCGGACCTACCATTTTTTCACAACAATACAGAATCGCAAGCTTAGAACCGTAGTTATATCTAGCACATCAGCAAGGCCGGTTTTTCGATAGAAAAACTGCTTTAAGGGACAATTTTGCCCATTTTGAGCGAGAGTTGGGCGCGCCAAAAAGAGGCGTGGTCCCACGAGCACGCTACGTGCAAATCTCGCATTGTCGTCAAAGGGTTAACACAGGAAGCCAGCGAAAACCCTGTACTGCGTTCTCGGGTTGGCGTTACCCTTCACCAGGCATCTTTACCAATGCGAACACCCATCGCGACCGTGTCTATAGTGGTGCATGACAAGACAATATTTATCAGAGACCTCTTTCTGAAAATTCATTTTGCAGGCTACATGGAATCAGTCTCAGCTGATGACGGAGGACATAGTGAAGAGCGGCTTAGCCGCGTTAACGAAGTCTCCACTGCCGCCATTTTCAAAGCTTTGATGAATTATTGTTACGTACATATCAAAGCAGTGATTTCAACGAGTTTTGTAATGACTCAATATTTATATTTTTGACTTCTATCGGTAAGTAAAGCACTGGTCTGTGTCGCATCGAAAGCTAACTCAATGAAGCACTTGATTCATGGCAATCTTCTTTTAACTTGTAAAAATATCGTGACTAAATTCCTCAAGATAAAACCTCTATGACCTCGCTGTTGTTGAAGTGGCAGAAACCTGTCAAAAACTCGGCTGGCATCTCTAAAGTTTGTTCTAACATAGCTGAGATGGAGCTATACCATGAAACACCGTCGCTACACAATTTCACTCTCTACAAAGTCCTACTAGTGCTTCCCATCTCTGTCAACAGCTTGTGCAAACTCCAATTTTTGCTTCTGGTGAATTTTGAAGATGGCGAAATTCTCGGAAGATTGCTCAAAGACTATTTCGCTGCACGTGACAGAAATCTGTATCAGTGCTCCGCTAATAACCAACAAAAGTGTTGCTCCGATCATCAAACCTACTTCGCGCGGTTTGTTCTGATCTTCAGCAAATGGGGTGCAACTAGAATGCATACAAAAACGTAAAATGAGTTTATGTCATTGATGAAAGATAATCATTTGATCAGTTTTTCGGATAGTTCTTCCTTATCGAACAAGACTTAGGCGGCCTCTTTTGCTTCAGCCCTCGCTTCGGCTGCCTGCACCTTTTTGTTGTATTTTTTGAGCATAGAAACGTAGGCGTCCAAGTAAGGGCCGTATTTTTTACGTGGCAGCAAATTTTCCTGTAATTGAATAATAGCATGATCTCAAAGGAACTCCTGCAACTCTCAGACTCCTGATCAGTGATAAGCGAAACACTACTGAGAGTAGTGTAATCTCTGTCTGTGACAACGAACAACTATACTACTATACCAACTATACTAGCATTCTTCATAGGTACTTTGAGCTTCAGTGAATACAAAGGACCCGATCCGGATGCACCAGCTGTTCACTCGATCCATTCCCTCCCCCCCCCCATACGATCTCTTTTCCGAGGATTCTTCGACGCAAGTTTGATCCTGGCACAAAGCACCATAAAAATTTGAACGTTTCAATAGAGTAAACTCCTAATTCCGCTGCCGCATAATGAATTTTTTTCTAATAAAAAAATTGTCATAGTTAGGTAAAAGTAGATTAAAGGCGGCTCGATGAATAGTACGGCAGCCGCTAGAAATCAAGGTGAAAATTATGACGGGATAAGAAAAAGACCATGAAGACACATCAGCCTATCACATCAGTGCTGCCTCATCAAAAGCTCGACGCTTTCTTTGGCTCGCTCCAATGTAAATCTCTGCAAAAGGTGGGCATGCAGCCGGATATCCGCGCAGGACGGCCATGTCAATTTGCCGAGGCAGAACCTTCGTTGCAGATTGCGTATCGGCCCGCACCCTCAGGGGGTCCGCCTGGGTCGCTTTCCTCGACCACCAACCTGTCGAAAATCTCTTTCACGGTAACTTGCTGAATCTAATCCCATTAGCGCACCATAAAAAGTGCAATGTTAAAGCCACGAGTCAGGATTAGGCAACCAACAGAAGTCCTTCCCAGGGTGCAATAGTGGGCTCCCTAAGCATTGTTTGCGCGACACTATCGCGACTCAAAAGTGCGCGGCAATGGCGCTAAGGCCTTGCCCGCCGCGCTGCCCGCGCTGCCAGCGTAATCCACCACGGCATACGTGGTCTCTGCGTCTCTCGCGTATGACGTACTATCTCGCGTTCTCCCTCTCCTCGCAGCGCTGTGTCTCTCCGTCGTACTACGGCCGGCCTCCTAAGGGAAATTTAGTGTTTTCTATGGTGCTTTTGCTTTTTCTCCTCACTAATGTTCCTCATTGCACCCCTTGCCTAATGTTTGAACAAAATTACGCTCGTATAAATCTCCGACTGCGTGCCCTTTTATAGCCTCAGGAATAAATCTCTTACCTCATTAGCCATTTCAAGCAGGCACATATGCAAAAATATGTATTGTATTGGTGACTGAATTGCATGGAACCGTTGCTGCCGAACCTCTTTCAGGACATCAATCATCTGCACGTCGCCGTTTTCGCGAATTCTTTGCCATGCGTAATCGATTGCTGTGAAAATAATTGAGCTTGGCGTAGCAGAAATGTTAGCAATCCTACTATATATAATCTGCTAAACGGTTGCGTGTGTGCCTATCTGTCTGACCGGAAAATAATAACACCACTCCCTTTGGTCCTTGAGCGCTCTACCTTCAAAGGCATACGGGGGCTAAACGTGAATACTGAATAGGTGTGTTTTGTTTTCTTATCGCCCTGTCTTGTCGTAGTACCACATTTAGGCTTACTAAAGACTGAGGCCTCAATTTTAGGATCATAAGGTTTCTTCTTCTTTTCTTTTCTCCGCGCATAAGGTTCGCCTTCCTGGGTAAGAACCCATAAACATTTGCTTGAAGAAAGGTATTGGACAACGTATGCCTGGAGGGCCCTTTCTAAAACCATTATCACGGTTTCTCAATACAGAAATTTATTGGACAATCAGGATCCGTCCATGGGCAGGGTCAACCCTGCGTTGCGCAATTCTAGAATTTCACGACCTCTTCTTTTCCGGAAGGTATCGGACGACCCCCTCCCCCTCATATTAACTACTATGTCTTTCAGATAACTTAATACTCATCATGGATGTAGGCAATCGCCGACATGGAGAAGTGGAGTTGTCAATCCGCGCGCTTTGTCCCACTCGGAGGAGGCGATCGCAGCAACACGAAGTTTTATTCATTAAATAGATGGAATATCCAAATTTTTGCGTAACTGAATACATGATAGTAACTATAGAAATTTCTACTTTCAAAAACCTTCCGAGATTTTTTTGATTTCTCAATTCTTCTTCTTTTAACCTGAAGAACTAAACCTTGTAGCAATTACGTTGCAATACAAACCCCCTCCATTCAGAATGGTTCCAGTTTTCTTCAGAAGCGGTCTCATGGAACCGCACACAAAATTTTTTAAAACTTCAAATAGTTTTCTTCCTAAAATGGATTTGAAATGTTACGGATGCTCAACATTTCAAAAATCGTCTCCGTTTGTTCCGTTGTTGTGTAGGCAGGGATAGCCGAGTGGTTAAGAGGTTAGACTCATGTCTGCACCTCTGAAAAACCGCGAGTTCGATCCCTGCCGAGGTTCGAAACCATGCCCTGCAAAAATTGCAAAAATGGTTCTAGTACCAGCGTCAGGCCCAGGTTGACAGGCCGGCTGATGAATACCCCAGTCACACCAACATGTCTAAAAGTTGTCAAAGAATCAGTGATAAAGCTAGGACGTCACCCGGAAGTGGCGCGCAGAACCCCCGCCCGAGTTCTGTGGTCAGTATGCGAGGGCTACCGAGGAGTGAACGGCCTCGGCCAAAGAAGCTAGTTCGAATTGGACTGTGAACGTAGGATCGCTAACTGGGAAGTCCCGAGAGGTTGCTGATCTGATGACGCGCAGGAATATCCAAGTCCTATGCCTTCAGGAGACGCGATGGAAAGGCGCTAAGGCCAGGAAATCGGGGAAGGTGTCAAGCTCTACTACAATGGAGAAGACACCAAGCGGAACGGTGTGGCCATAGCGGTAGCGGAGTCGCTCAAGGACTATGTCTCCGCTGTGAACAGGATCAGCGATCGGATCATGGCTGTGAGGATAGACACGAAGGAGGGGTACTGGTCAATACTATCAGTGTACGCTCCGCAGACCGGATGCCCCGAGAGTGAGAAGGACGAGTTCTACCTAAGGCTTGACGAAGCCATCAGATCGATCCCGGAAAGCGATTACTTGACCATAGCAGGTGATCTGAATGGCACGTCGGCAGCGACAGAAGAGGCCTGGAAAGGGTGCACGGAGGTAGAGGAATAGGAGTGAGGAACGCCGAGGGAGAGAGGGTCCTGGACCTGGCTACGGCCCACGATCTGGCAATCTGCAGCACGTTCTTCGCGAAAAGGGAGACTCAGAAGGTCACCTACAGCAGTGGAGGGAGACAGACGGAAATCGACCATGTACTGGTAAGAAGATCATCCCTCAAAACTGTGAAGGATATCAAGGTCTTCCTGGCGAAGAACTGGCTCCTCAGCACAGGCCCCTCCTGGCAGACATAGCCATAGACCTTCCCAAGAAGAAAGGGTAAGAACCGAGAGGAGAATCCGGTGGTGGAAGTTGCACCGAGCAGAGAAGAGCGACCTCAAACGAAGGATAATGGAAGTTGGTCTCCCAGATCCTGAGGGACCAGTGCAGCAGACTTGGGGCATGCAGCTGAGATCATCCTACGATGCGCCAAGGAGGTACTGGGCGAGACGCGAGGTGGATTCAGAGGAGACAAGGCAGCGTGGTTCTGGAACGAGGAGGTCCAGCGAGTCGTGAAACAGAAGAAGGAAGCATACAAGCGCTGGCAGAGACCCGGAAGCCTACACAAGAGTTGCAAGAGGCTCGCTAAGGCAGCCGTCGCCAAGGCGAAGAACACGGAAATGGACGCCTTGTACGAGAAGTTAGAAGAGCCAGAAACGCAGAAGAAGTTCGTCTTCAGACTGGCCAAAGCCCGGCATCGGGCTACCCAAGACATTAGGGTGGTGAAGAGCGTGAAGAGCAGTAACGGTGCCATCCTGAGGAAGCCAGCTGAAGTCAGGAGGAGGTGGGAGGAGTACTACAAAGCGCTCCTGAACGAGGAGTTTCCCCACAAAGACAGCTCGCAAGCAGAGGCGACGGCTGGCCCTATCTCACTATGGACAGAGGATGAGGTTCGTCAAGAACTAAGGAAGATGAAGGTTGGAAAGGCGGTGGGTCCAGATAAGGTGCCAATCGAGGCATGGAAGGCGCTCGGAGAGTACGGGATCAGATGGCTTACCCAATTCCTGAACACGGTAACCACCGAAGGAAGGATGCCGGATGCCTGGAGAACAAGCACTATCGTCCCCATCTTCAAGCAGAAGGGTGACGCGATGGACTGCTCCAACTACCGCGGGATCAAGTTGACTGCTCATACAATGAAGCTGTACGAGCGACTGGTCGACTCGAAACTGCGGGAGCTGGTCCCGATCTCCCAGGAACAGTTCGGGTTCATGCCCGAAAGGTCTACTACGGATGCCATCTTCATCGCGAGGCAAGTGATGGAAAAGTACCGAGAAAAGCGCCGACCCTGCTACCTAGCCTTCCTTGACCTGGAGAAGGCGTTCGACCGACTACCTCGAACAGTACTATGGAGAGCGCTCAGGGAGCGGAATGTGCCAGAACACCTGATCTCTCTGGTGAAGGACATGTACGATGGGGCGAAGGCAGCTATACGCACCCCACACGGCCTAACGAAGGAAGTGGACATCACGGTTGGGGTGCACCAAGGGTCAGCTCTGAGCCCGTTCCTCTTCCTCCTAACACTAGATACCATGGTGAAGGGGCCTCATGGAAGGACCACTGAAGACATCCTCTACGCTGACGACATCGCCCTGATAGCGGATAGCAGAGAGGAACTTCAAGCCAAGGTGCAGAAATGGCAGAAGTCCTGGCAGAAGGTGGGCTACGGCTGAATGTCAAGAAGACCAAGTTCCTGAGCTCCGAAGGGGCAGAGCCGATCGTGGACGGCCATGGTGAGACCATCGAAAGAGTGGAGGACTTCAGATACCTCGGGAGCGATCTGGCAGCCGACGGAAGTGTGGATCAGGCAGTGAAGGCACGAAGTCAACGCTGCATGGATGAAATGGAGGGAGTCCACTGGAATCCTCTGCGATCGAAGGTGCTCCAGAACACTGAAAGGAAAGGTGTATCGGGCAGTGGTGAGGCCTGCGATGCTATACGGCAGCGAGTGCTGGCCCCTGAACAAGAATCACGAAAGGCAGCTGCACTCCGCTGAGATGAGGATGCTGAGGTGGGCCTGCGGCTGGACGCGACTGGACAGGGTCAGGAACGAGGAGGTCAGAGCGGTCATGCAGACTGCCCCTGTCCAGCTGAAGGTACGGGAACAGCGTCTGCGATGGTATGGGCACGTGCTAAGGAGGCCACAGGACCACCCAATAAGGAAAGCAATGGACTTCGAAGCGCAAGGCAAGCGACCGCGAGGTGCCCCAAAGAAGAGGTGGAAGGACGTAATCAAGAAGGACCTAAGTGAAATCACGGCCACAGCAGAAGATGCCCTAGACAGAGCGAAGTGGCGACGACTGAAAGACAGCGGACCCTGCGACTGCGCGGGACTAACGCTAGGGAGAAGAAGAAGAAGTTCCGTTTGTTGTGTACACGCGAGTTTTCGAAGAAACATTCATAACTTTCTTCATAATCGACTTTTTGCATATAAGGGCAAGATCAGATAAGCTAGAGATAAGCGCTTGTTCGAGAAAAACTATTTCAAAGAATCATTTGTCTCAAAAATAGTCCCGTTGTTCCGTTCTTGGGGTGGTTGTGGGTCCGATTTTTGAGAAGGCGCGAGTTTTCAACATTCAAACGTTCATAAATTTCTTCATAACCAACTTTTTGCAGATTCTAAGGCTAATTAGAAACTAGAAGATTAAAACTTGGAACAAGCGCTAAAAATTTTTTGAAGAATCATTCGCCTCAAAAAAATAGTCCCGTTGTTCCGTTTTTTCCACCTTGACTTTTTTATGCCATTTCTTCCTGGACCGCGACTTTGCAACTTCAAAGGCACATAACTTCCTTCAAAATTCATGTGATCAGAAGCGGTAAAGAGTCTTAGAATTTACGCGAAGAGCACCTTAATATGGGAGTGAAGTTCCCTTGAAATTCTTTCTTCTGCATTTAACTCTTGAAGGAGTTCTAGAATTAGTATCAGATAGCTTACACTTTGTAAGGCTGAGATCTGATTTGAGTAGCATCAAAATTCTCTTTAAGAAGTTTGTTCCTCACGGGCACTGAAAGAGAAGACGTTTTGTGGAAAAACGCCTGCTCGGGTATACGCCGTGCACCTGTCTGTGGCTAGAAGTCGCACTCGCATTTGAAAGTCCTCCATTTTCCTGAAGAAGGTGTTAGTATCGTGATTGAGTTGCATTGTACTGTTATATGGTACTCTTGTTTCACTTTCCCATGAACTGCTCTACACTTTGTTCTCTATGGGATTTCAGGAATGTTCGATCGTCGGAGACATGTAACAAAGTTTTTAGATATTGTAATCTTGATCTATCCTGTCGAGCGAAAGCGCCGTTCGTGTAATAAGGATAATAACGGTTGATAGTGGGGCTTACAATGCTCTGCATGCTCTAATGCTCCCATGGAGCTCTTGTCTGCGTAACAATGCGACTGCTGCACGGTGTAGAGCTCCTGGAGAACATTAGAGCGTGAAAGTGCACTGCAGGACACTGCACTTTTCAAGCCGTCTTGCAGCCCCTCTCTCTGGATACGACCCCCTCCCCTTTCGTTCGGCCGAATACGACCCCCTCGTTGTTCTTTGCGCAACGGGCGGTTGACCCTGTTCATGGGTATGGTAATTTTGGTACATCGAAAATTCGAGTGTAACTATGTTCATGAAAAATGATAAGGGTTCCATGAGGATCAGTGTATTGAAAACTTGGAAGTGAGGCTTTTACTTGAATAGTCGAAAGCAAGTTTCGAATCACGATTTGGGTCGCGTGGTGACTTTACAGAAAAACCAGCGTCAAGTATACTGATATGCTGCAGGCACGTAGACGTCGGCCTCACATGAGTGCCATAACAGTCACAAATTTGAAAATCACATAACCAATAGTAATTTATGCTTACAATAACCGGTTTGTAATAAGATGCTGTGATCGCTCACAATCCACTATTTTCACTAACAGTGAGCTGAACCTTGGAAGAGTTGTATATTCTCCCTGAGCACGGCCTATATTGGCGACATACATGAGCTCACTCATCGTAGACGGAGATCAGCATATGTGTCTTCGTAACATCTTGGCCCATGCGTCATGCACCTCCAAGTGGACTCGAGCACTAGTTAATGCTCCAAGTGATCCCGAATCAACAGGACGTGGACATAGACATATAGAGAGAATTACAACTTTATATAGAGTGAAGGTGACTGTGTAAGGCTGCTCCTAGTTTTTCACTGACCTAGTGTTAGGCCGAAGCATGACAACTACAGCAAAATTTATAGTATAGATACAGGAACATAGTAACCTGCACTAACTAAAAATATTCTCATTGCCTGCGTCTTACATCTAATTCAGGTTTCCCAAATGAGAACTCGCTCACCTACAAACGTGGCTGACCTTCCAATGCCTGCCGAACAGTGCACCGTGATTGGTTGGCCGGAAGCAAGTTGGCGGCACAGCTTCAAACACCCGACCATTGGTGCAGGACTGAAGGGTGCTGTATGATCTGGCCACACCAAGTACGCGAAGTGGTTAACGGTCATCGACTGCCCTCTGAAAATGGTAATGTAGAGTCGCAATAAAGTTCAGTAGCCATTAGACGAATGTTTATCATATCACGTGTCTCCATAGCCCAATGAAGGGGAACCGCATGGTACGGATGCAGGGAACAGATTGCCCAGAAAGTATGTGCACTGACCATGAAAAGCGCATTGCAACCATCAGATTCGGAATCGGACCAGATGTGCTTGCTCATTGAAGCCAACTTACATGAGCAAGTAAACGCAGTCGCTAATCTGAGTTGTGTCAATTACGCAAATCAAAGAGCACTGCTATGGAAGTGTTTAGGCTTGGCCAAACGATTCCTCATAAATTGACCGGTTCCTACAAGAGTGCGGGACGCATACACAGTCTCCTTGTATATAGATACTGTAGCAACTATTGAACTCACTTTAGAATCTAAATGTGTATTAAACAATGTGAGACTTCAAAATTTTATTGCAAAAGACTCAAAACTTTCTACAAAAGAAATTGCAAAAATGTGTGTTTGCAAAAGTTTTGCAAAAGTTTAGGCCTTTTTTGGCGAGCTTTCGGCGCTTAGCGCCTTTGTCGAGCCTGAAATGAAAATTATAAGCTTTCTTAAAGTCTGTTAATATATTAAAATATATTAACTGACCCACCTGCTGTCCACTTTCAAAAGTGTAACACTTACCACCCTTGTCGGTCTGTGAAGCAGGAACTGTTCCCTACCCTAGACTTACCCTTAAATAGCGTTGACGTGCTACGACCGTTATTTCCCAAAATATCGCATTCATTCCACAGTGATGATAACTGCAGTCATGCGATGAGTTGAAGAGAGTCACGCAGC